GATTTCAACCTTCCTTGACCATCATCATGTGATTTACCAGCGCTAGGAATCAAACTTAGGACGTGCTATGTGAAGTATGACCTGAAATTCATATTATTTTTGGTAACGTTTTGGTACACGAATTTAATGTATCTATCATTATTCAAGAAGATTTACTTACGTTCCTCAATACGTCATCATGACACTCTAAATTAACATAATCAATATGATTTGACTTTTTTATTGATACAAGATGGTACAATTGCATTTAAATAAATCTCTCTCAGGTGACGACTTACATAAAACAGTTCACTGTTATGTGATATCCCGACGTAATAAAACAATATTACGTTACATATGTTAATATATTATTGAATCTGAACAGTTCAATAGCCCGTCAGTTGTTTTTCTCATTAGGTGAGGCGACACTTGGCAAATAATTAGAGTTTGGTCCCATGGACAGTCGCAATACAGCTGCCCACACTGACAATATTGGTTGTTGCAGATTTAAAGGACCCCTGTCCCGCAGCTGTAGCATGACGTTTGGGTAAATCTCTGGCATATGACGTTTGGGTAAATCTGTAGCATGACGTTTGGGTAATCTGTAGCATGACGTTTTTACCCCTTCAATAATCTACACATGTGAACTCGTTTGGATTAATTACTAAATTATCAACGTCTAATTAGTCTTTCTCTAAATTAATAAATTAAAATAAAAAGTTATTTAGTATTTAATAGTTTAGTAATATTCTTTTTTATTTGTAAATAAATTCTTTATATTTTAATGTATTAAATGACGATTTTGAAACTAATTTATTTCTTTAATCTTTAAAGTAGATATATCGTTATATACAAAAATAAAAATTAACATTCTGTTTTTATCTGTTTATATTGTTTACAATTAAAGTTCCTCACAAAAACAAATATGAAGTTTGTCTTTAATTTCAAATTAGCTATGATTTTCAAGCTCTCAATTTATTTGGATAGTAAATATGATTTTTTGTCAATCATCTTGAGTAGCTTAGAATATATGGTAAATTATATTTTTTTCTCTTTAGGTTTGTATTTAATTGTAATGTCATACAACATATTTAAAACATTTCTATCTCATATATTTACCTATTATTTCATTTCAATGTCATATATCTGTCATAGTTTCCGTCAGCTCCTCCATTATATGTCTTCATGCCGTCGTGGACCCCACTTCAGGCCTCAATTACACTTACCCGATGAACTGCTAGGACAGACTCTCCCGCAACAAAAAAGTGAAATGTTGCACTAAACTTCATGACAGCCACATAGGCATATAACAACTTAAGAAAAATGTGACAGATGTATGACATTAAAATGAAAATAAACATTAGTATGTGATTGAATTGTTTAAAAGATATTGTATGAGGTTACAGTGAAACGCAAATCTAAGGGAAAATGTGATTACCCTAAAACATAATTTATGAAGAAAAACATAATAATGTAATTGATTAATAAAAGGCTAGTTAACGATATTATGGTAAATTGTCGTAGTTTATGATGAATAATCTTTAATTTTATATTTTTTTAACAAATGATATTATCTACACTAAAGATGAGGGGGATGTGCTTAGCCTCACAATGGACTAATAATAATGTGGTTCAAATTCTCCTTTAGCAAGAATTGAACCTAAAACCTCTCACTTACAAATTAAGAGGAATACCACTTGACATTAGTACTAAGTGGTTTTTTTTTCTTTAACAAACTATATTTACACTAAAAGGGAGTGTGTGAATTTAACATCATGATGAACTAGTAATATATGGTTCAAATTCCCAAATAAAGTCTTTCATTTAAATATATAGTGCAAAATATCATTTATAATAAAGAAAATAAACATAATTCAGGAAAAAAAAAACAAGTATTTAATACAGAAATATTTTGGGCCATGAAAATTAAAGTTAGAAGTGAAGTTTATGGAGTCTGACAGCGCCGATCTCCCATTCAATGGGCCTTCAAAGATGCACAGTTGATTACACGAAGTCTCACGCGCTCGGCTAGCAATCCCTCCAAAGTCCAAACACCAAAAATTCTAGCTTCTTGGTTGTCACATTTACAGCGACCACAACTATCGCTATGTTTGAAATTTCAAAGGCAAACAACTAGTAATTGGAACGTACCAACAAAAACATGCTATTTTTGTATTACATTGTACCGTCTCTTTCATAGAGAAGAGTTTTGGGCATGGCAATGTGGCTGGATAATACTCAAATACATTGAGACATGTTTTTCTAAAGAGAGTTAACTATTCAACTAGTATTAGTATCAGGTGACAATGCATCTATTAAAGAGTGATACACAATATGATACAAAAATGTGATATCTTTAGTTACTAACAGTAATATAGATTAGCTTAAGTGACGATAATGAGTGAGAAAATACATTTATGATTGTGCTAAAATCAGCTGATTTTGATTTTTCACCTAGAGTCTATTTCTCTATCAATGAAATATAGTTTGAAATTCATTAAATTGGTGAAATTCTTCATTGTCAAAAGGTTGGTGCTATCCACATACTCTGTTTTACCTCCCACATATTCTTTTAAGTTTTGGCTGTTAAATTGAATGAATTGAAAAATATAAAAAAAACATAAATTAACAAGGAGCATATGAAAAGTAAAAATGGGTCTATACTACCACCTTGTCAAAATTGTCAATTTGAATGCAACAATCCCAATTATTTGTAGTGAAATTATATCGTTGACATGGCACATTCAAATAGACAAAGAGAATTTGAATCATAGACCTTTGGCTAATTGACTCCTTGACCTAAAATTGATGTAAAGTAGTAATGTAGTTAATCAAATTCCATTGGAAATGTGATTCATGTTGAAAATGCTAGTGGGTTAATGAATGCCCACAGTGATATTAAAAATCTTGGTAGATTTTTTCAATACCCACATAGATTGGATTTGCAACATTGGTAGATGAATGAAAACATTGGCAGTGTTGATATGTGGACTTGGAAATGAAGGAGATCATTTTTCAAAAGGTGTGTTGTAAATTTTCAACATGTAATAATACGGAGTTGCTCTATAAATAGAGCACTCCGACTGCTATCAACAGATATAGAAAAGAGAAAGCAAGAAAATATCAATAACATCATTATCTATTCCTACCTCCTTTATTTGTCATTCTTTTGTGCTATAGTTACAGTGTAATATTTTACACTTACTTCGCTCATGTCACTAATAAAGGTTATCTCCCTAACTTTGACCTATTTATAACAATTCATACTCAAAACTAGTCCCACATTATGCATGTTTTGCTCTCGTAGTCTTTGCTTCCAAATCTTCTTCTTCTTCTTCTTCACCACCTAACATAACATGGAAAGATCCTTCTTTTAATGTCCCAAGACAGATCAGTACATATCTAGTTGACAAATGTACAATTATTTTATTTATGTTTTGGTAATTAAGGTATGCAATTATTAATCCAAGCTATTAAGGGACCCCATTCAGTACTACCCTGGAGACAGACAGCCGAGCATAAGTCTGGCACTAATAATTCTAAAGTTGCAATTCAAATGAAAGCAACGCTTTTAGGGCCTTAGGCTCATCTCAAGATAATACCGCACTGTTGTGTGAGAAGGTAAAAACATACGACATTATGTTATTGATTTGGAATATTAAGACACTGATGTATTCGGTGTAGGTAAATACTTAGAGCAGTTCCACCATTGTAGGTAGGGTAAGGGCAAGGCTGTTAACTTGCTCTTACTATAAACTCGGAATAGTACTTGCCTTTGTATACTTTCATCCGTTGGGCAAGAGCAAGAGCAAGACAGATTACCATCACAAATATTTTTTATTTTATTTTTTAAGTTGCTCTACAGGCCTTATCCTCCACGTGTCATGAACGCCTTATATTTCCAATCAAATTTTCAAACACTCTCGTCATGCCACGTGTCATTATACATTAATAATGTCTGCTCCGATTTTTTATAAGATTCTCGATCATTCATATAGTGCAACTTGTCCTTATCCAATCTTCTGGTTTCCTTATGTAGTGCCATGCACCAAACCCTTAAGCAAAGCAACGTCTTCCCTGATTGACTAAATTGCCTTCTCAGTTCTCACTCATTTTTTGGTAAAAAAATGATTTGGAAAGTGGAAAACAAATATAAAAGATTGTAGTAAGAATCAATATTGAGTTGTGATGTGGAGAATGAAGAAGATGATTGGATTTTTATATATAATAAAAAAAAATCCTAATTTTTCCTATATTTTTTAATTTTTTTTACCATGAAATTTGGATCACCAAGACGTGCCACGTGACACAACGATAACTTCATAAAATAGAAATCCAACAACTCAAGAATTGCCATGCCATAGAGCCGTAGTTGGTGATTGTTGGACTGTTGTAAAGGGCACCATGACAACAGAAGCTATCGGCCCACTCGCCAAGTTCACGAGTGTATTGCCAGACCAAAAAAATTAAAAATAAAATAAAATAAAATAAACAACGTAACTGACGTCAGCCTTGCACGCTAACGCAAGACCGATCATAAGTTGCTTAGGCTTCGAGCGGATTTCACATGGCCCACCGCTTTCCCTCTTCAACAAGGCTCGTTAGAGTATTTCTTTGGATTTGTACAATAACTTTATGGCCCCGACCCTCGCCTCCCACAAAAGGTGGACTTGCTCTTAGAAGGAAGGGTCAGATATGGGTTGCGAGTTTCCCACTCGGCAGGAGAGGAGCGTGGGGTGCACAAGAGGGGTTGGAGGTAAAAGGAACCCAATGGAAGGACATGCCATGAAATGTGAAACACAAGGCCACATGGTTTGTTCTGAGCATCCATTCTTGTACTTCTTTTTCTTTGGTTTGCAAAAGTCTGAAAGCCACAAACAAGCTGTCACTATTTTCCCTTCTCTCCTCCCTCACCAATTTCAAACAAACCCTAAAATGTACAAGAATAAATATTTTTAAATAAAAACCCGATGAGCTTGGCCCTTCTTTCTAGTGCTGCTTTAACCCCCCCCCCCCTCTCTCTCTCTCGCTCTCTCTCTCTCTCTCTCTCTAAAACTTCACTAATAAATCCTCTCTCTACAGTCACATTACATTATCCACTCACTCTCTCTCTCTCTCTTCTGTGTGTTGTGCAGCAGACACCTTCAATGGCATTTTGCTGACAGGTAAAATCAGTGATTCTTCACTTATTAACCTAACACACCCAACTAATCATAGCTTTAGCTTTATATTTTATTTCCTTGACGACCCACTTTACTATTAATGGAATCTATGTCAGTGAATAAATGGCTGGAAAACCAGTCTTCCATCTGCACAACTTATCTGTAAGTTTACTCTCTCTCTCTCTCTCTCTCTCTCTCTCTCTCCCCTCTTGTTTGTTTTTGTTCTATTTATTTGTTTAATATGATCTAAACTAGTAATGTTTTCCATCTTAGATTCCCAATTTCTTGGAACAACACTGCTTCCATATCATTAATTTATTGGAAAGAAAAAAAGTCTCTTGACTTTCTAGTTTGGGGTTCTAAAAAATTGCAATGTCCAGAGCTGCATTTCTTGCTTTCCTACTTTGTGTTTTCTTTGTTATGGAGTCAATTCTTGTTAATTCTGCATATTGCTGTTTTGTATGATATAATACATTAATACCCTTTTGAATTTGAAAGTTCATAAGCTAATCCGTGATTAGATCTTTGCCTAATTGGACTTCTGATGTGGTTAATTTGGTAATTTTACTCTGTTGATGCTGTTTATACTGTGAATTTTTGAAATTATGTTCTTATTGAAGGTGATACAATTACAAATAGCAAGAGAGAAGCTTAATTGAGGGAGGGACGGTGGGGAAAGCAAAGAGGAGGTAAAGTAGTAGTAGAAGCAGCAGCTTTTGAAATAAGTGCTTTTATGGACTGGAACTTGAAAGCAGCTTCTTGGGATTTGTCTGAACTAGAACAAGAAACCTTTTCCAACTTGGACACTACAGTTGATGGGTCTAGCAGCTTTGGAGATCATAGGACCTTCAAAGGAAGCAGCTTTTCTGTTGATTTGAAGCTTGGTCAGTTGGGTGGCTCTGGGAATAATGACCTGGTGGATATGCTGAAGGAGCCCGTTCCGAGAACTACCTCATCATTTTCGTCTGGACCATCAAAGAGGTCTAGAGTGGCTTACAGCGGATCTCAGATGGTTTCCTGCCTCGTTGATGGATGCAATTCAGACCTTAGTACTTGTAGGGATTACCATCGGCGGCATAAGGTCTGTGAGTTACATTCTAAGACTCCTCAGGTCACGATTAACGGAAACAAGCAGCGATTTTGCCAGCAGTGTAGCAGGTGTAAGATTTTACAACAATTTTCATTAGTCTTGTAATGTTGATTTTCATTTGATTAAGTATTCGCATATGTTGATTTCCACTTCGATTTTATTCACACAATGATCATTCAAAGATAATGTCAGTTGGAAGTTTGTCTATCCTTTTGCATTCTACTGCCTCAATGGATGATCATGTACTTTTGTTTACTGCTATGATTGTAGAGATATCAGATTTAAAAAAGTGCACATTGAAGGTCACTTTACATTTCGACAATGCTTTATTAGGTTCTTTCTGATTTAGGATTTAGCGCGAGGATCGTTATTACTTGTGAGATAAAGGATGAGCTGAATTGATTATACATTAGATATCAAATGTTGTCTTGAAAATCGTTAGATAGGATGGCGGCTAGACTGAGCTGAATTTTTTTGTTCTAGCTGCTAAGTTGTTTGGTTATAGAACAAACTGCAAATCCGTTTTTTTGGTAGCTCCTAATTCTAGCCTAGAATAAATTCAGAGGTAAACTAACAAATGTTCAACTCATATCTATGTATTCGTAGCTCCGTTCGCATGAGTACCCTCTGTTCGAAGCCACGATCTGGCAAGGTCAAGTTCCTCACGCTCCGTGCGCTCTTTTGTTGCAGGTTCCATGCTCTGGAGGAATTTGATGAGGGAAAGAGAAGCTGTAGGAAACGTCTTGATGGACACAACCGGCGGCGAAGGAAGCCTCAACCAGAACCCTTGTCACATCCGGGGAGTTTTATGTCCAGTTACCAAGGTTAGCTGCAACCTTTGTTTTTGGGGAGCACTATGTGGAAATTAAAGCTGTGAAAGCAGACATTTTATACGAACATCCACTTGGTTGAGTGCTTCATCAACTATGTCTGGTGGTCCTGCCACAGTTGATGATCTAGGGGCCACTAGCAGATCCATCTCTTCAAATATCTTTATTTTTTATTTTTAAGATTCTTCCAAACTATTAATCTTCCTGTCAAATGCTGCTTAATTTCTCTGCTGTCATTCAACTGATCATAAATTACAACCCTGTTTGAGTGTTTTTAATTAAACTTTCGCACGAACGTGCGGGCTCAAGTGAATGGATGCTGAGACGGTAAGTTGAGAAAAAACCAATGCGGATTTCTTGCACTAAAATTTGTTTTTTCCACTTGTTGCAGGTACCCCACGATTGTTGCCACTCTCTAGTTCACTTGTATACCCCTCCACAAATATCGTAAACCCTACCTGGACCGGCATTGTCAAAACGGAGCCAGATTCTGGGATTCATAACCACCAACTGCCAATGGTCGATAAGCAAAACATGTTCCTTGGGTCCTCAGACAGCACCAGCAGCAGCGGTTACAAGGGAGGAAAGCAATTCTCACTCTTCCAAAGCAGCGACAGCTCCCCAGTCCACCACAACCACCAAACATCTCATCATCACAGTGCTTCTGTCTGCCGGCCCCTTCTCAACACCATTTCATTCTCCGAAACTGGTGGTGGTGGTGGCGGTGGGACAACAAAGAGCAAGACGTTTTGTGACAGGTTAACAACTCAAACCCACGATTCGGACTGTGCTCTCTCTCTTCTGTCATCACCGCAGACGCAGCAGAGATCTGAAATAGGTTTGAGACACATGGTGCAGCAGCCTAATTCAATCTCTCTGATGCAACAACGATTTGGCCCCGCGGGTCTACACGGAAACAGCAGTTCCATTGAGCCCATGGATTCAGTTCTGGTCTCCAATGGAAGTGGTGATGCAAACGTTCATTGTCCCGGAATGTTTCACATTGGCTCTGATGGGTCTCAGGGCAGTGGGAATCAACACCCTCAAACACCTCCATTTCATTGGCAGTAGCGAAAATTATTTGTAGGATTTCTAGATCAGTTGTTTCGGAATGGAATTTAGAACCTCATTGTATGGTTTTGGAGGTCTTTCTTTTGTTCATGTAAACATAAATATATTATTTTAAAGTGACTGACTTTTGAAGCAGATGTTTTTTAAACCAATTTTTAGTAAACATAAAAGTAGATCTTCGAAAGCACTTAAAGTGCTTTTGGAATTCCAAATCAATTCACCAAAAGTATTTTCAAACAAGTCCTATATTTATCATGGATAAAAATGTTTTTGCATTCACAATTTCTTAACCTTCCAATCACTTTACCAAGTTTGCATTCTTAATTGTGTTGTTTTCAAGGGAGCGATTTTGGTACTTTAAAAAAAAAAAAAAAAAAAATTATGCACTCCACTCAAGTGTATTATTTCTCTTAATATATAGGGAAATGATAAGCGCAAACATTTTTTTATACGCTAATCATGTCCATTTTTTTTCATTTGATTTATTTAATCTAATGATCAGAAATACAGAAAGATGTGCAAAAGGTTAAAAACAAGTGTTAAAAAATAGGAGGTTGAAATGCCTCTATGAATTTTCTCAGCCCTCAAAAAAGACAGATAACCGTGTCTAGCCACCAGTTGGTGTTTTTTTTTTTTTTTTTTTTTTTTTTTTTTTTTACATCTTGTAATTTCAATAGCCATATACCATTAGTTATAGCCGCAGACCATTAGTTGTTATTGCGGTCACTTGGTTTGTAAAATGTAAGCCTTCTATATATTTAAACTTGGTAGTTAATGTTTTTGGCTTTAGTTTTTGAAACTTCAGTAATATTGAGTTACTGACACTCAAGTGTTACTACATTGATTTGTAGTTACACTTGTAAACGTTGGATGGAAATATGCAATTCCAAATCTTAAACCCCTAAAACACATAATTAATTTGTAACACACCCCTAAATACATAAATCATTCATAACACACCTAAGTAAGCTCTAATAACATGTTCTTAGAGTTATGTTTTTGTGAATCTTAGTGAGATTGAGCTATTAGCACTTAAGTATCATGAAGTTACAAAATTTCAAAATTTAAGCACAATATGAGCCTAAAATCAAATTATTTGTGTGGAATAGAGGATTTAGACACAACTCTATAAGCACAATTTCTACTTATTTAGGTTTTCTAACTTTCAATTGAAATCGACAAACGAGTTAAAACCAACTCAGTGAGTTTAGATTCGATTATTAGGTTATTTGACGCCCGTGACGGAAAAAAACAAACGACTTATTTGAATTCAATACGACCGGGTACGCATTAATTGCGTTTCTGACATTCAGGTAAAAACCGACAAACAACTTTGAGAAAAAATCTGAGGCAATTCAATATAGATATGATTATAGTACAATCACAATATGAGCACAAGCAATTTGAACCGTTCATTGATGTAGCTCCACTTGAACGTACGACTAAGATTAACCCAATAACACGCGAGCGGCGCTCGTTTGTAATATACTGCTCATACCGTAGTAGTAAATTCAGAGAATCACAAACCCTATTAAATTTTTTGCTTTTCCTTGTTAGCTTCACATGTAATGGACTGTTTAATTGGATTGGTTTATTTGCAGAGTAGATAATAAGTCTATGGTTTTCATGCAAAAAAGACATAATCTTTTGATGCTTAACTCTTAAAGAGATGAAAAGAAACGCCTATATAAGAGGACCTCCCCCTACCACTATCACCACAGAACAGAGCTACTCAGTAAGACTCATCTTCTGTTAACATAAACGAAACCGATGTGGTGAGGTAGATCGATGGCGGCTGCACAGCTGAAAACTGATCGTGAACAAGGAGTGTTTTCTCGGGTAGACGACGACATTTGCAGAACATTCTGGGGAGGCTACCGGGGGTTGCTTTCGCGGCAGCCGCCTGCGTCAACACAACTTGGAACAAGAACTGCAGTCACATGCTCTCTCGCCCCAAATTTGCTTCTGCCCTTTCTCTCAACCCCGACCTGCACGTATGTCTTTAAATACTTTGTTTTCCTAAATGCTCTGTTTTCCTTAAATACTCTATTTTCTTAAAATTCTATGTCTCCTTAAATGCTCTGTTTTTATTTTTGACTCTGGTGATTGTTTGTTTTTGAAGAATGCGATTGATGAAGTTCTTGCCGAGATTTTCTCTAAGCCGATTCGACCGGACTTCGTTGTCGCATATATTGGAACAAATTTCAGCTTGGAAGAAACTCACCAACTTGTAAACTTTCAGATTTTTTTAGTCTTTTTGTTATTAATTTTTCTTCGTAGTTCTTAATTTATTTAGTTTTCGGTTTTTAATTAATGGTTATGATGCAGATTACTGAGAAGATAGGCTCTGGAATTCCGATCATTACAAACAGAGCCATGGGACTAATTGGCACTGATGTCGAAACTCGTAATCTCCGCGAGGCATGTTCTTAAATTTTATGAAACTTTTTAAGTTCAGTGAAGAACATTTGGCACCAATTGAGACCATGTTGAATATTGCACTATATGTTTGTGTAGGTGAACTGCGCTCATGGTAACTCTGCAAGGAACCCGGAAATCAATGGAGGCCTCGTCGTTTCCGTTGGATTTGTGCCTGGCTTGAAAGTTGAAATATTCCCCCTACCGAGTCCAAGACATGTGAGCTTTGTTGTTTTTTCAGTTTGTTTTGTGAAGAGCAATTACATGACATGGAAGTGTTCGATACTCAGGCACCGCACTTGCTTATGATGGAGCATTTTGTGAGAGACATTCTGAGCTATTCGGGTCCTCTTCCGCCTTCATGCATGATGATGTTCGGGGTAAGTTGGTATTCCGTCTTCTGAGTTTTACAGGCTAAAAATTGACATCTTGGTTTCCTTTTATTTCTTCGAACTCGGTTTCTTCCTTTCCATTGCTAATTTTTGACATGGTTGATCTAGGATAAACATTTTGACATGAACCTGGTTGTCGCAGCGCTCGGTGAGTACTGTTTTCTTCTCTGATACCGCTATTGGATGTCGAAAACTTGTTCATGGATCTTATGGTGGATATCTTCCGTTATCTTGCAGATGCTATTATGCCTGACAAGACAGCCATCGTCGGTGATGCAAGTGCCTCCTTTATGTACACTCGGAGAAATGAAACCGGAAATTACAGTAGCGATTGTTCTACAGTGCCGGTGCAGCGCTCGTTTTTGTCAAGGATCAACACAAACCTGATTGTATGTCCCTTATGTCCCTATCAACACACATATACACTCAGACTCATACACACATATTGTCATATATTTTCTTAATTCGAAGTTCTGGTTTTAACAAATCGTCAATTTTATGCGCAGACATGGGGGAAATTGAGTTCCATGTCACATTGTCGCCGGGTTTGATGCCATTCGGTCCTCAAATCAAGACAATATCATCTTATGAGACGCCTACTCATAGTTCATGGATTTCCGCTGTAATGTCAGAATTCGAAGGTGTCTTCATTGATTCCCACACCATTCTAAGGGAGCTCCAAAGCCAGGTGAGTCGACATGAATACCTAGACTGTTACATTGTCAAACTGTCAATCTACCACAAAAAAAAAATGAAAAAACAGAAAAAAAGTCTAGACATCCACAGGGTTTGTACTCTCAATTCACAACTGTCAACGTATCATGCTAGACTGTTAAACTCAAGACAGATTAATTTCGTTCTGACAAAAATCCATGCTGATGCAGTTGGGCATTTCGGACATTTACACTGGGGTCACCAAACAAGACAATACCAAACGGAGCAGGACCACCAGTCTCCATGACAACCTTGAATTTTCATGAAGTTAGAGGGTAAGTCACACGAACTTATGTTTTTGCCCTTGAATTTTTGTAGACGTATATATGTATTTATATCTATGTTTATGTTTGAAATTTGTAACAGGGGATATGGGGACTACATTCTTGTTGATGGTGTGGGAATCCAACCCGACGACATCTTCTTCTTTTACCATTCAGATGCTGCAACTGCATTGAACACCGTTGATTACGCATCTGATAACCTTCAAACTTTGGTTCACAATGATCCGATATCCAGCGAGAGGTGTTCGGAGGGTTTATCTTCTCCAGCAACAAACGCGGCATATCGTTGTTCAATAGACGTAATGTTGAGTGTAAGCCGTTTGCTGACAACTTCCCAGGAGTTCCGGTAGCCGGAATGTTTGGAAATGGGGAGATCGCGTGTGGTGCTTTGCTTGGTGAAGAAGAAAACCAAGAACTCGGTCATCCTCGTTGCTGCGTCCATGCTTGTAGCTCTGTGTACTTGGCCATGACTTACGTTCCTCCGCAAGCTCCATATTCCTTGGAGTAGATGTTTTGGTCGGTTTTCTCCCATTGGAAAAAATAAAGTTTGGAGAGATTAGGGTTCTTGTGGTCTTGTTTTTGTTGGGGAGTTGGCAGAGTTGGTGTTCTGTCTTGTCATATGTTGTTGTAAGCGTTTGGATTATGTACTGGGTCTGAGGCAAGCACTTCATCATGGCTTCTATATATATAAATCAGAAGTGCTTGTAGTGCTTTTGTTGTTGGTAATTTAAGTGTTAGGAGTGTTATCTTATGTATCTTTGTTTGCAACTCTAATAACAAAGGGAGAAATATTACCCTTTTGTACATATGACTGGGTTTGCCCTAATTAATTTGTTGGTTTTGTGTTACATTTAAAGTCCAACAGATCTTGAGCTCAACTGGCATCGCATTGATGATAAATCATAAGTTTACACTAATTAACAATCAAACCTGGTTTATTGGATGTCAATTTTCTAAAAGACTCTCACATAACTTGTTACATCGATTATATGACCCAAAGAAGGGTTACTGCTAATTTGCTATTATAATATAAAAGGAAGATATTGTCGGTAAGGTTTTAGGTTTGACCTTCACAAAAAATTGTGTCAAACACAATTTTAGAGAGTGTATTTGATTGAGATTTTGAAATATTATTTTTGAAATATTTTCCAAAGACTTATAAAACTCATGATGTTTAATGGAGTTTCATAGATACATGTTAATTTTAGATGAATTCACTACAAACCGTAGGGAGAGAGACCTCATTTCCAAAATCTAAAAACACTATAAAGTCACTCCAAATCCATTAAAATTCATCATCTTTTAAAATAGTTTAAAACCAAATCTT